TGCGGTCCGGTACTTTGCGACCTCCAAGCTCTCCTTCAGCACAAATCGCGCCCGAAACCTTTTTAAGACATAGATGGTCACGGGGACACGGCTTCTTGAGTATACTTTTTATTCGCATGTATTTATTTTCATCTGTTCAGTTTCATCTGGTGAATGTGTTCGTGTCGTTTCCCATCGTTACCCAAATGATGGTATTATTTGGGACGTAGTGGTTCTTCGCTGTTTTCTGTGTTAACCAAGGAGAGGGGTTGGGTTGACCTACCTGTAAGAAATGGTTACAGCTCTTAATTATTTCAGGTTTTAGGTTACACTCCGGATTTTGTCTCCACTGCCATGGCTCCCTATATAAACGATATTCACAGGAAAGGTATGCTACTCCTTGCACGAGTTTCTGTGTTAATTCAGTACACCTGCTTAGAAAAGCGGGCTGATAAGAGTTGGGGCTGTTCAGTCTGGAGAAGAGAAGGCTCTGGGAAGATCTTACAGCACCTTGCAGTAGCTAAAGGGGGCTTGCAAGAGAGTTGGACTTTTTACAAGGATATGTAGTGATAGAAGAAGGGGGCATAGCCATAAGCTGGGGTAGATTTAGATTGGATGCTAGGAAGAAGCTCTTTGCTGTGAGGGTGGTGAGGCACTGGAGCGGGTTGTCTGGAGAAGTTGTGAGTGCCCCATCCCTGGAAGTGTTAAGGGCCAGGATGGATGGAGCCCCGAATAACCTTGCCCATAACAGGGGACTTGGACCTAGGTGATTTCTAAGGTCCTTCTAATCCAAACTATTCTATTGTAATTGATGTGGAGTACAGGTCTGATGGTGAAATTGGGTTGATTTAAGGTATTTGTTACAATTGCAAATACATACGTATATTTCCATGTATTTCTTACTATAGCTTCAATCTGTGAATAGTAGATTGCTTTACAGATTTTTTTAAAATGTGAGAGCTAGATGTTTTCAAGGTATTTTAAGCTTTTCAAAATTCCCACATAGTTCTACAATATGATTTTCCACTGTTTTTTTTGTTTGTTTACATTAGCAAAGCTTCACAGTGTCTATTGCTGTTCTGCTGGAGGTGTTTGATGGTGTCTGTCTGCCTCATTATGTGTGTCTTTCTGGTCACTTGCTCCTTTCATTCATAAAGGATAGATGAGAAGTATCTATAGAGGTTATTTTTCTCTAAACAATTTTGTACTGGCTTATTCTGATCCTTTGACAGGTTAAATGTGGTTTTATTTTAATGTGGTTTTTGTATTTTGCTTGACTGAATGTCTGTTACCTTGCAAAGATGATAGCTTGCTTATGCTCCAGCACCCTTTTAAAGTACAGGTGATTGATTATTGATGCTGCTGAACTTTATTTGCCTTTGTTTTTTTTCTGTTAGGTGTTCGTGTTGTCAGTAATGCTGGTGGAATTAATCCACTTGCTTGTGCAGCTGCCCTTCAGGAGGTGGCAAAGAAAGCAGATGTTGATTTGAAAATAGCTGTTGTTGCTGGAGATGATCTGATGAGTGAGGTATTTCACTGTGTTTTACACCTCAGTAGCTCAAGTCTGTATAGCATGAAGATGGCATATACTGTCCCATAGAAACCTTGTGTGTCTCTATGCACCAGTCTTATACTATCAGAAGCATTGTTCTTCATAACCTTCTAGGTTCTTTTAGTTCATAAATATAATTCTTGGCACATCTGCTGTTCGCTGTACAGTGGGGGTGAATTTTATACGGTTCTGCATCTTCTGTTTAGCTTTTTGAAGCAAAATGTGCATCTGCTGTAAGGCCTGTGTGCTCTTCAGGAGAAGCTATTACATGCAGTTATTTACTGCTTCTGTCTAACTAGGTAATCATGCCAGTTAATTCTTCTGAATGTGGTGTAGCTACCACACATTCAAATGTCTATCCCTTCTAGCTTTTTTAGTGGTTTACAGGCATTTCCTGATAGTACTTTTTTTATAGATAGTTGGTTTTCTGGTTTTAAGTAATTAGTTTACAGTCTGTAAAGTAATGTTAAGTGAGAGGATTGAAGTTCAAATATAAAAAAAAAATTGAAATATTAAATACATGGATTTTTTTTAATTTATTTAGAGAATTACACTTTATCTATGAAATCTGCGAAAAAATGTTGGCCATACCTGAAAAGGTACTGGGAAGAGAGTTTGTACATAATAGTAGTTAAGAGAGGAGAGGTTTGCACTGTGGTTAAATCTCTGCCTGTAACTTGGAAAATTATTTATCTGCATAGGATCTGTTACCTCTTGCATGCTCTTTAATGTGGAAGATTGTCAAGTAAAATTCCTTATTTGCAAGTCATGTGTGATGCTTGGACTTCCTTTTAAGACACTTCTGCCCTGCTGAAATTACTCTCTGTGGGCCAGAATTTCATTACTGGTACAACAGTGGTTGTTATTTGAGCTTGTTATGGGCATGTCTGATCTGAAATCCATTGTTTTCTGTGCTGTTGCCAGTACTTAACCTAGAGAAACAAAAAGACACAGCTTTTATGGTCTACAGACAGCTTCTACTGTTGATACATGAAACATGGTAAATGTTACTTGTGGTTTGGAGGATTTCAGTCTTTTAGAATACCAAATTAGTTCAGAGTGGAAGTTTGGGGTTTTTTTCCCCACACTAGAGATCCCACCTGTAAATTAGTATTTACAGTTTACACGGGTGTTGTGTCTATGTATTCACTGTCCCCTCAATCCACTGGATTGCCAAGCTAATGCCTAATTCGTGGTCAAAACCACACCCTCCCCTTGCCCCTACTTTTCTGGAAACACAGCTTATTCTAAGTACCATATGAAGCTCCAGGATTAAGCTTGTTCTCTGGCCATGACACCATTGCTGACGTGGCAGATACATTTCTGAGTGCAGGGTTTGATTTATTTAGTCCTACAGCAATTAAACACCGTTTAAAGCCTAGGAAATACACCAGATCATTGTTGTTGGTCATGAATAAATGAACATTACATTCTTTAAAGACTACCTTAATTTTCTGCATGCTGGAAAAGTTGTGATTAAAAGTGTATCTAAGGCTTTTAGCCATTCAACTGATCAGTATTGTTAATACTTTTAATAATTAGACTTGGCTTAGAGTTGCTATGACGTGGATCTGTTGTTTGAGACTAATGAGAGGCTAACAGAAACTTCAAAATACTCACAGCTTGTGTTCTGCTTGTTTTCTAACAGAAAGAGAACTTAAAAGGAGCTGGTATCACCGATGTAGAGAGTGGCAAAGAATTTCCAGAGAATATTCACAGCATGAATGTGTATCTTGGGTGAGTTATTTTAGCAAAGTGTATTTATTATGAACAACTAATTTTAACACATTGAATACAGAAATTTATTTTGCTTTGCAGTTAGAACTACTTAGTAGATGAGGTTCACCTTTGAATTATTCAGGCAACCAGAAAAAAATTGGTTTGTAACTTGTAAGTAAGTTTTAGTTATAACATTGTAAGTTATGACTTCTTAGCAGTACACCATCTGAATTATCAGGTTTTAGTTGAAGCCAAAACAGTGTTAGTTCAATTATAACAATTGCAAAAGTGCTTTTTCATATGCTGAGTATTCTGTTGCAGAGTGGAGTAGTGTATTGTGTTGTCACTGGAGAAGTGCAAACAGGGAATTCAAGTACTGGGATGTGGTCAGTGCTGTAGGAGGTTCTGTTATGTTATGCTGAACTCTGTCAGGCTTTGTACTCTTGAAATTTTGGAAACTAGTTTTTCAGGATGGTCACTTGTTTTGAAAGATCTCCCTTCCCTCCTTTATGGTGCTTAGGGTTTCCATAAGTCTGTGAATGCAGGTATTCTAGCTACCTCTTTGTGAAGCTGCATATTCATTGTCACCATCCACTTCAGATGAATCAGTGTGAATCAGGTCTAGTAAAGGGAGATGACTGAGAAATGAGACAGCGGTCACATACATCTCTTCCAGTTGATGGTCCTGGTGATCCCATTCTTGCACAGTGCTCTTGAAGTTGGACAATATTGTGAGTTCTTAAATCACTTAGGTAATTGACCTGAAAGGTTTAAAATTGGAGGGCTAGGTCACCAGGTTTTGTCCCTGAAGGATGTTCATCTTTATGCACTTTATACACACTGAAAATTAAATGGTTAATGAATCTCTGAAAAGCACTCTTTTCTGTAATTTATTTAGAAATGTCCCACTCTGCACTTTATCCAAGAAAGTTTCTGTGGACATTAAGGGAAGTGTTCCAGTTATGTTATTTAGGTACCTGAATTTGATCGTGCCCTGATGACTGCTCTTTCAAATACTCTTGATGTACATACCTAACCACAGGTTTGTTGTTGTAGTAGATTTTATTGATTTCTTATGCAATTTTTAAGTGTTTTTTTAGCCTGTGTGTGTCAGGGAACTGATGCTTTAAAAGATGAAAGTACTTACTGCTGTGTTTTGTCATTTTTAGAGCCAGACCAATAAGCAGAGCTCTAGACCTTGGAGCTGATATTGTTGTGACAGGCAGATGTGTCGACAGCGGGATTGTATTGGGACCACTCATTCACTCTGTAAGTACAAGTTAATTTCCAAATGCTAATGAATAAATGTGAGTGAATATTCAGCAGTTGTCAGACAATTTTTGTCCCTTATGAAAATGTAGATACTAAATAAAAATAGTGAGCATCTGTATTTTTTTTTTCTTACATGCATGAAAAGTGTCAGCTTCCGCTTCTCCTAAATTGATAGCAGGCATATTTGTTAACTTGTTAATTTGTTACCATTGAACTAGAAAGCACAGGTGAAGTTCAGGAAGTCTTATCCTTTTTCACCAATATTTAACTCTTACCATTTGTTTTGGATTTTTTTCCCTTGCCTTTCTGAAAAATTTGGTGTGCAAGTATATTTTTCTTTACTACAAAGTGTCAATAGTAGAGCTCACTCTGGTTGGGGGGTAGCATGTGAGGTGGTGTAAAACACTGGGGTTTTTGTTCAGTGTTTAGTTTTGTTTTAAGTAGTCAAGTTTCAATGCAGCATTTCGGAAAGTCCTTGAAATTCAAAAATTATACTGGCATAGTATGTCATTTTCTGAAGTATTTTTAATAGGTTTTCATTAATTTTTGTGAAGGATCACACATGGTCAAATACAGAAGCTCTCTTTTGGTGTGTATTTAAAAAAGAGACTATGTGTCCAGTTAAAAACATTCTTTCTAAGACATCATACTCTTTTGACTTCATGCATGTCAAACATTGCCTAATTAATTTTCCATTTATGATTTCCATTATGACTTCTTATTTATTCCTAGTTGTTTATGTTCTCAAAATAACAACTGTCAGTGTATATTACCTACTCCAGAGAGACCTTATCTAATTTATGTGGGAAAGGTTTTAGGAAGATTTCTGCAAAGTGCTGAATAAAAAACAATTACTGTATTGCTCGCGGGTTGAACTCGGGGAAAAGACTCTAGCTAAAATTTCTAATTAAACAGAAAGCATACTTCCAGTTTTTGAGGGTGACTGGTAGTACTCCAGGAACTGATAATTTTCAGAAATTGAAGATACCTAGTGGTTTGTCCAGGTGACACAAGATAGGTACTATACTTTTAAACCTGTAGGTTGTGCACTTTTAAGTAATAAGGGTGTTGACCATCCAGTTTTTTGGAAGAGGGTATGACTTTCAGAGTTTAAATTTGTTGTGGTGTATCAATAGGAGCAAACTGGAGCATGTCAGAAGTTTTTTTTTTGCTGATTTGCTGTATAGGAACTCAAATCCATGTACAGTGCCTGCCAGCTATTGTTATTTAGATCTAAAATATATCCAATGCATTGTTACTCAAAGCAATGAACATACTGTGTGCAGTTTTTTGTACTGTATGAAACTTATGTGCATTTAAAATATTTTTGTTTTTCTTGTAGTTTGGCTGGAATAGGGATGACTATGACTTGCTAGCTGCAGGAAGGTAAATGATATAAGAAGAAATGGGGTAAATCTATATTTCATATCATAATTTCAAGGTCATTTTCAGCACCTACTAATTTTTCATATTATCACTGCATTAATTTATTTGCATGTTTTTGTTAGGTTTTGAGTTTTTTCAATGCTTACTTACTACTCTCACTTGGAATTGAAATTATAGAAACTTCATTCTGGAGCCAGCTTAAAATAAGAAAAGAAAGAAAGGGTTGAAAGATTTTATTTAACAGCTTAACTTTCTCTTGCTGTTCATTTTGTCTTGAGAGATGAAATCTTATACTATGGGCCACTGATTCCCAGGTTTTTCTGTCTGGCTGCCACTGTTGATAATTGGGTTGGTCACAGGCTTGTTCTGAAAGATGCACAAAAGCAGGTTTGGTCAGAAGGCAGCATCCTGGTATGGTTTTGTTGAAGCTCAGTGTTGTGCTCCCATTTACAAATCCTTGTTGTAGTCCTAAGGTTAGGGATGTGTTTCAGAAAGGACTAGAATTACTCCTCCTAATTTAATGTTGTGCATAATTTATCTGAATTGAAGTCCTCATTATAAAGAGTGGTTACTTAGCCTGAGCAAACTCTAGTGTTAGTGTTCTTGAACTTCTGCTTGAGGAAAAATGTGGAGAGAAATTCATTCAGGCTCCACTGAGGGATGATGGAAATGAAGATTTTCCCCATAATTCAGTTAAATAGTTATGGACTATCACAATCAAAATTTGAAAATAGTAATACATAATTATAATACAGTGTAGTGAGTACATAATATGCAGAGGTGAATTTTTTTTTGTCTCTTCATTTAAAATTGGTCTTTGTCTGTTTAGTTACATACAGTGCAGACTACTAAGATACTGAATTTTAGATCAAGATTTGAAATGACTAGGAGAACTTGGTTTTAGGTGTGAGGTAATCTTCTAGATATTCATTTAGTGCAAGAAAATTCTTGCAAAAATTTCCCCTTTAAACAGTGTATTCATGTTTCAGGATCCCTTTTTATGCTTAATGTATAATTCATAATTGTGTTAGATACTTGTGGAGGAAAATGGCATGTTTTTAATTTAGCTCTATTTCCATTGTATTTTAAAGCCAAATTTGTAAAAATTTATCTTTTGTATTTTACTTAGTTACTTTAATGCCATTTTCCCAGCCTTGCAGGTCATCTCATTGAATGTGGTGCTCAGTGTACAGGTGGAATATTCACTGATTGGCACACAGTACCAGACTGGTAGGTAAACTTGAGACCAGCATGCATGTTTGTAGTGGACTAAAGATGAGGTTTTCTGCCTGTATCTGTATTATGAAAACTGCTTCTACCTTTTTGTTTTTGGGGACACAATATGGGCCTCTTGATATTTTGCCACCTCAACATTACTTTTCTACAAGTTATGTTTTCCCTTTTTAAGTTTTCCTTTTTGGTCAGACAGGGTCTTTCTTTTGTTAACTTCAGCAGATTTTGAAAAACAAATTAGCCCTTTGATGATTTTTTCCCCTTTGAAACTATTTCTTTCCTATTCCCTTCAGTATCCTCTGCTTTTTGAAAATATTTATTATTGGTTTTCATGTATGATTGTATCAGAAAAGTCAATATTGATGTTGTGGATGCTGTTACAATAGTCTTCAGTTAGATGAGAGATGCTTGCTGGTGAGTCAAAAATTTCACATAATTTGCTTTGGTAGGTATGAGTATATGCCTTAGTTCTGTCCTGCCGAATAACCCAATGAACACAAATGTGTTGGATGGTCAGTCCTTCCAGAAAATTCTGTGTGTGTCTTGTGTTCAGAGCTATTGAATTAGAGTTATGTGTATGTGTGCTGTTCTGCCTGCTGAGGGAGCCAGCTTTTTACCAATCCGTTTTTAAAAGTAGTTGTGGAACACATTTTCTGCTTCTGGCTGCAGTTACTTCTGTATTTATTGGGATGAGAGGGAGGGATCTTGTCCTGTGCTATATCGTGAGAAAGGCAGGATGAAGAGCAGCAGGGAGGTGCAGGAGAGAAGAGTGCTTTAATGCAGTGTGTTCCTGCGCTCAGGCTGACTCTGGTCCAGCTGGATGACCCAGCAGGACTGTGCCCTGCTGCCTGAAGAGCCATAGGGCTCCCTGGATTTTTTCTGCTCCTTGTCTTCTCTGCTGTTGATTCAGAGTGTGATCCTAAAAGATGTATGCCGCTTTTCTGAGTTCCTAAGTGCTGCTGATTAAAGGTGAATGCATGTATGGCATTGAAACAAACAGGACTGGACATTTCTTCTCACCTACTGGAAGTTTACTGAGCAAAGCGCACTCACTCTTCACTGTTGTATTCTATGGGAAATCAAAGGAGAGAGTTTATAGTAACAAGTTGGTTTGGAAATTTAGAATTCCTATTCTGATGTCTTTCCCAGTCATTTAATTGTGCTGCATCATGAAACCTCTTAAAATCTTTTGTAACTGTGACTCCAGAAGACCTTGCTTTATAAAAGAATTAAAGTGAAAAAAGAGAATAGTAATTTTCTTATTTAAATGTTTGTTAGGTCTTTATTTTTAAGGATTTTTCTGTGAAGAGTGTCCATCTGGCTTTTAAAAAGAAAGGAACCTTGAATATATGGAGCTGTTGTGAGCTATTGGAGTGGGAGTAGCTCATTTTCCAGAAGGGTTTAAGTACACGAATATGCATACCTAATAGTTTTGTATCTGTAAAATCACAGAACTTTGTCTAAAATCATAGTAGACTTGTGACAGCTGACTGGTGCTGAATTGAATCTCTGTTAAAGAACATAGAGGTTTAACATCTGATACTGCTGTTACCGTGTCCCCTTCGATATGTGTACATACCCTGAAACTGTACATGACTGTATTTGTGTTAATATAACAGTTAGTTATTTACCTTCAGTTTAAGTCTGCTAAAAAGTTGATTATGGTGCCTTAAACTAGTCAGTTTGTTGGCAATTTTTGAGTCTTAGACGTGTAATTGATGAAATTCTTGAAATAAAATAATGTGACACATCAGCCTGTATGATAAGCTGCTAAAATCAGTCAAAACCAGAATAATGTATGAGCTTTGATTTTAGGTTTTGAGCTGTAGAGTGGAGATCCACTTCACTAACTGAAGTGGAATTGGGATCCAGCCCATCCACTTAGAATATGGGGAGAAGGAATGCAGGGAGAAGATTATTTGGATAAATTTTGGCTTCCTGATGAGTAGTGGTTGTCTATATTTAGGCCCAAAAGCATGGAGGGTAGATATTATTAACAGTCTTGGGATGCAGAAAAATGTGTTTTCCATTTAATAGTTTAGTAGTAACCTGTTCTCTCCTGAGTTTTATGAAATTTTCTGGCTTGGGGTTTTTTGTTGTTTAGACAGTCTGAATCTGTTTTCAGATAATGCATTCATAATAATGTACAATAATAACATGGTGTCTCAGTAGTGACCAAAACATCCCATACCTGCAGCCACTAACTATATTGCAAATAGTTCACCAGAGCTCTGACAGTTTGCAGAAGTTACATGACTGTGTCTATTAATGATTTCTCCCTCCTTTAGAAACAATGACATTTTTAGGAGTCTCCTGGAAATAAGTGAAAATAATTTACATCTCAATAAATCATTGTGTCTGTGGTACCTAATGTTAAATCCAAACCAGCCCAATTAAATTAGTAAATAGGAGGGGGAAGAAGCCAAGTTAAATCTGTGTTCATCATTAATGTGCCTTTCACATAGGGGTTTCCCGCTCCATGAGTGTATCTCTGCAGCCCAAGAGCAGAAAACCCATCCCTTGCACTTGTACTGGTGTGTGGAAACTGAACACTGGAGGGCAGCCTCTCTCCTCCTCACACCTCACTGCGGAGGGTGAGCTTCATTAGCCTCCAACTGGAGCCACTTTTTGGACTGTCCTTGGGGTTTTTTTCTCTCCAAGAACAGTAATCCACAGGGCTGTTCTGTCTAAGAAGGACTGATGGGTATGTTTTTTTTTCTAACTTGTAAACAAAACCCAAAGAATTTGCTGCATTTCAGGTTTATAAAGCTTATCTGTCTATTGTTTATGCATAAGCAGAAAAAATTACCTCCGTAAACAAGAGTACTTTGGTTAATCTAAATGAAGCCAGGCAAGTTAGAGCTTACATTCTGTGCATTTGCTATCATGTCTTGGTGAGTACTGAGGCACTGGATTGAATCCACTTCATTCATCCAACATAGTTTAGTTGGTGGATTTTTGATGTGGGTGGGGGGGTTGTTTGTTTTTAATTTTCTTGAAATGTTTGATGCAGATACTTCTGGGAACTCAATTCCACGGCAAAAGGGTGCTTTGAATCTCAGGAATATTTGTGTGGGCATTTAATGGTTAATTACTAAAACCTAAACTATTCTTTCATTTCCTTTGTTGTCTCCTTAAAGTAAGTTTTTAATGTAAAACAAGTGAAGTGCGTGTTCCAGCTTGTGACTCTCCAAGTTGCTTTAGCTGATAGAAGCTGAACTTACTTGCTTTCTTTGTGTTCACATAAGGCACTGAGATTTGTGCTGTGTGTATCTCCTTAGTGCATTTGGGATATTGGTGGGAATCTTGAAGCTGTAAGGTTTTGTCCAGTTTTCATGAAGACAGATAGGTAGAGGGGATAGGTGCTGTTTATTTTTCCAGTGAGAGGGTGGGTGCTTAACTCTTCTCTTGTGTGGATTCTCTGATGTTTAGCAGAGAAAGTGCAAGAAACCATTAGTTCATAGTCTATAGAGAGAGTAATGTGCATTCTTAAAGTCTGATTTTAAGTTAGTGTTAACAAAAAAGGCACTTAGTCCATTTCTGTTATTTGTATAGTAATACATGTCAGCAAAGGGTCAGCAGAAGCGATAATACAGCACTGCTCCCTATTTAATGTCTGTTAGCAGGCATTACATTACATTGTCTGCAGCTTCCAGTGGGGAATTCATGTGGTGTGTGAAAATGAACTGTACTGCTAGAACTACACTGATAATTCACAGATCTCTATTTAATTTCGTTTGTCCCCAGACATTGCTGTCTCTTGCTCTTATTTAGTGCCAGTGGGTGATTAGTACATTGTTTTGTTTTGTTTTGAAATGCAGGAGAGAATAAACTAAGGCTGATCAGTAGATAATCATTTTGAGGAGATGATAAACACTGACATTTTGCCCTAAGCCAAGAGTGTACATTGGTTGAGACTGCATAATCCTCTGGGCCTGGGATGACCAAAAGGGTAAGTCAATAGCTGTAGACTCCTAAGGGCTGGATCCAGATTTCTTAATTTGGGACTAGAACAAAGTCCAGCATGTGAGTCCCATTCAGCAGTGTGGAATGTTTTTTCCTCTGTAGCACCATCTGTTGCAGGCAGATGAGAACACCAGGCAGCTGGTCTGTTTAGCCTGAAATTGTCTGGTCATTGGAAATGGAGGTACAAGACATAGAAATGCCCTAGTCAGAGGGGATAAGTGATGCAACCAGTAAGTCTTGCCTCGAGCAGAATTGCATGTTAGGAAACGTGTTGGTGCATACACATGAGGAGATGCTTATGCCTTTACTTTGTAAGTTTGTGCTGATCTTGCTTGATGCAGTAACAGTTTTGAACCTGTTGTCAAAACGCTGCTAGAAGTGGTAGGAGCTTCTGGTTTTTGCCTAGTAGCATTCTGGTTAAAATGCATAGCTGAGGAGTTGAGAAGCTTGGCTCAGAGCTGTCCTTGGTGTGACATTCACTGAGTCACGTCCCAGGCAGCTGCATTAGCTGTAGAGCTGAAAGTTCACACCACAGCTCACTTGGATCCTGGTTCCCTTCCACTGTGCATTGTTGTAGGGTTTTGTTTTCATTCTTGCAGCAACTTCCCCTGCAAGTAAATGTACTCCACTCCCTGTCCCATCTTCTGTTGCCAGTAATCTCCATTGAGCAGTAGTGGCTAGAATGAGGTACTTGAGGGATTTGACACTTTTGATGGGAGAAATACATGTTCCATCTCAAATGTCTCTCTCCCTGAGCCAAAGTACTGGTCATGGATTTTACTTTGCTTGTAATGCAAATGGTGTAAGAAGTATGGCAAAACAAGGAGGAAGTTTTTCTTGATGGCTCCTCAGAGGCTTCTGAGTAGTGTTCCAGAGTAGACAGGGAGGCGATCCTTGCTTAGACAACTTGATTTATCGCCTATGACATGCCCATACGCTGTAACGTTTCTGAGAGCCAAAGCTGAAGAAAAAATACCATTTTACATGGAAAAAATTAATCCAAGAGTAAGTTGTTGGCTGGCAGAGAACTTGACAGAAAACTCAGATTCTTGATTGCTATGAGAGTAAGATGATGAGATGGAGGCTTCAGCAGCAAAACCAGTTTTGTAACTTGGTTATTCCTGTGCTGTTGGTGTTCACTGAGACCTGCTTTAACTGTTAACTCCTATCTAGGCCCAGTTTGGAGGGGTTTTCTGACGTATAATCTTAGCTTGGTTTCAGTGCTCTGGTTTATTAATGTCTATATTATATATGCATTCATTTATAATGGACTTACTTGCTAAGTGGCAAACATGCAACCTGAAATGGACCTTTTGGACTAAACAATGGTAGTTGTCATCTCCCCTCAGAAACTCATGTGTATTTCTTGTGTATATTGACCCTGTGCTGAAAGAGCTGCTTAAATATTTTAAAAGTAGTACTTGATATTTGTTTCTAGTACTGTATTTTATTAATTTGTATAATTTAATTAAAGTGAATTGTATCAGTTCCCTTTTGGAATTGTTTCCATTGCTTGCTACTGCTTCATCCTGCATAGGGATTTTGTCACTAAACTGATGCAGTTCTTTTATTGATGAAGGATTCCACTTTGCCAAGGTACCTTTGGATGCTGTGACCGTAGCTGCTGATAAAGTTCATAGTTCTGTGCTTACTCCCCTGCTACACTATATAAAAGGACAGCTTGGCTGTGGGTTATGGACAGCCTAAAGGTGGCATGTTCCCCACAGAGCAGATGTCACATGGTGTGTAGTCATTCAGCAAAGCCTACGAGTTAATCAGGCAAAGAGTTGCTGTTTTAAGTGATGGTCAGGGTGATGGTGTAACTGTACTGCCTGTGGTATACCTGAGCCAGGCAACTACTACTGCTAAAGAGCTTTTTATGCCTTTAAGTAGCTGTCATTTGCCTGTATCTTAGGAGTGACAGACCAGTTTGTTTCCAAGGTGAAAATTAATTTTAAGTAATGTCTTTTAGCAATTTACAAAATAGATTTTTGTCTAAAGTGTGTGAATGTTAATGTGGGTTATTAATGCCATCTACTACAAGATAATACTGGATATTTGTGTTTTCCCAGTCATCCAGTTACAATACAGGTAGACTCCAGTTGCTTCTTACCCAGATAATTGCATCTCTGTGTTGTGAACTGTTAAAAAAGCGAGGGAAGCTTTCAAAGCTGGTATAACCTGGGGGGAAAAGCACATCTTCTACAACTAACTGGCCATACAGAAAAGTTCATTGGGTGGTGGTGTACTCTGAACACCACAGGGGGGAAACAATATCTGCTGTATTTTGATCACATTAGGGGATGAAATTTCTCATTTTGTCTCACTATTACATTTAGGTTTTGTTTTTTAATGGTTTGGGGGTTTCGAGAGTGCAAGTTGGGCAAAATGAAGTTGAATCAATGTTAGTAGACTCAGTGGTTCAGAGTAGGAAGTTGAGTGTCTGCAGTTTAGTTCTTCCTTCAAGACAAAGATCATTGGAAAGCACTGTAAGAGTTGCATGTGCTGATGGCTGAGATTCCAGTGGGCTGCAGCAGGGACACTGGCTGTCAGTGCAGGGACATGGACTGCTCTGGGTGATCTGTCTTCATGTGAGTGGTGTCTGTTCTGGGTACCTGATCTGATCAAGCTGCATTGAGCCTGCTAGCAGGGCACTGGGTGCTGTTGCATTGAGACAGGATAGATAGGTGGTAGGGTCAGGCGCACAAACATGGAACCGAGAGGATAAAAGCTTCTTAATTCTAGTCTTGTTCAGCCACTGATCCTGCTTTGTTACCCTGGCCAAATCATGATGCTTCCTCTGTGTGTCTCCTTGCATCTAAAATGGGGATAATTACACATTAGTCTGTTCCCATATGTTTATGTTCCAGACCAAGAATTGAGGGCTTTTTTGACTGTTGCTTTTTTCTATGTCGCACTTCAAAATTTTGAGTAGTGCGTACTTCTGCTACCATCTTTTCTCTCTCCTTATCCCCTCAACCTCCCCTCCCCACTAGAAGAGCCTGTATATGAAATTGTTAATTCCATTCAGTTCTTTGCATTCACCAGGGCAGGCTGGTTTTGTTTCCTATATCTTTTTAGTGGTGTAAATAGTTTCAAAGACCAGTCAAATGGACTATTACCTTGACTGATTTGATGTGGTGTCCACCAGCTACCATACTTTTCAATTTTGTCTGCTCTAAGTGTTAAAAGTTGCTGTTCTCTAGTAACAGATCTTGTGTCTTAATCCTTTCTTTAAAATAATGGAGTTATGTTTGAATATTCTTGATGATAAGGAATCTGCTCAAACTCCCATGAACTTTTACATATGTCCCTTAAGAGTTCACTGGTATTTTTGCTTACTTTCTTTCAGACTTTGTGGATTTATGTTATACAAACTATGTTCATGTAACCTTTGCTGATAACCAATTCAGTTGTATGTTCACCACATTGTTACCACTACCACTCAAAAATAATTAAATTGAGGGATTAACTGGTTTTAAGTTTGTGTGGAAGACCTGAAGGTCATTGGCTTTAACGAGCATGGTAAAGTTCATCACCTTTCATTATTAGGACCTTTTTAGAATGGTTTTCTTTTGCAAGGGACTGTATCTCCTTAACTCCTCTTTTGGTATTTATTTTATGTTGTGGGACACTTGTACAAATTTCAGGCTTCCTGTGAGAGGGAAGGGAGCCAGGTAGACTTTTCAGAAGAATCTTTGCATTCTTAATTTTAATTATCAGGTACTTCTGAAAAGTCTGAAGTTCTTAATTTTGCTCAAATTCTCTGTAAAAAAATGAAAGCCTTTTAGCTAGAAAAGCAGATATCTGGATCTTGTCCACATAATCCTGAAAACTCTACCCTGCTACTGTAATGACCAGTATGTGCCTCCTATTATGAGTTATTTGATCACTTTGTATATATTTTGCTTGTGAGAATGTGAGGAAGAATATTTTAATTTATGAACATGTCCGTAGTTTCACTGCTTTTCTTTTTGCTGTGCCTTGTAATTTTCTGTTAGTTCTGTCTTCTATGTGCTGAAGATCTTTCCTTTCATGTCTTCCTGTTTTTAATTATTACTTTCCTGTGTATAATTTATTATTAAAGTGTGAAGTTATCCTTTGTAGGTGTGATTATTCCTGTTTCCGACTTCTCTTCATCTCTGAGGTTCCCAGCACAGTTTGTTCTTCCTGCTTTGACTGCCTTTTTACAAATCAGAGTGCAAGGTGTATTTAGATGTCTTCACTGTCATGCTGTGTGTGCTGCTGTAGCCAAATGGGGCCAGAATTAACCATGGTTTATTTTACTCTAAATTTACATCTTTAATCATAGTCCTCTAATTCTTTCAGCTTTTTACTTGAACTGTTTCTGTCGGTGTCCTTCTCCATTCCCTTCCCTACACCCATGTTTGCAGGTAGAATCTCCTGTTATATCTATGTTTCTTTGCCAGACAGTAGACTACATCCTCATATTATTTCAGTTGAACAGTTTGTTCAAGGCTTGTTTTTTTTTAGTCTATGTTTCTGTAGAAATAACCAGATAAATTGTAACTCTTGACAGGTTTTACTTGATTGGCCATTACTAAGAAATTTTGGTTTGTTGTTCATATTTCTTTTCGCTTTCCCTTGTATTTATAAGGCTTTTTTCTTAATGTTTTTATATTCTAGGCACAACATAGGCTTTCCCATTGTAGAATGTTCCTCTGAAGGAGACTTCATTCTTTCCAAACCACCAGACACTGGGGGACTCATTTCTTTTGGCACTGTAGCTGAGCAGCTGGTGTATGAGTTGGGCAATCCTCGGCGCTATCTTTTACCAGATGTTACATGTGACTTTTCCCAGGTTTCCATCACTGAAATTCCAGGTTAGTCCTCTTTCATGTAATGATATCTGAGTCAATGAAGTGTGTTATCAAACAAAAGCAGCTACTTTAATTTCCATTTAGTCTCTGCATATTTCTTATTAAATCAGTTCCTTAGAGTCATGTATTAAACTGATACTTTCAAGGACTTCTTCTAGAAATTCCTTTAGAAATTTTAAATGTAATCTTATTTATCTTGCTGGCTGACTCTTTTATATTTTTGATCACTGCTCCTTTTGCTTTACTTTTTAATGCCTGCCTTGCACCTGTGATGTCCTTAAACTATTTATTCAGTGAGAACAACATCAAGACAGCTTCATTATGATTTCAGTATTTTTTTTAAACTGCAGCTAAATTTTTTTTCTCAAAAAAATGTTTTGTACGTGGTTTTACTTAGGACATTTGAAGTGTTGGTAGCAATGAAAGGCTGTGTCTTTCAGAGCACTGCTTGGCAATGGTGTTTTTCTTAGACATTTAGGGTGGATCATGGTAGAAGAATGATTAGCTACAGGATTTCCACCAGAGAATCTTTTTTTAAAAAGTCCATTTGCCATCCTCAAAACACTTAACAGCCAGTAGACTAAAGATAGATATAATGTATGTTCAGAATTTAGCTTCAAAAAGAAAACAAAAAAACCCCAGGCTTAACAGATTCAGAGATCTGTAATTTGAGCAAGACAGCTTGAAAAAAAATTTATCTACAGTCAGCTAGAGTTTGCCTTTTACTGGATTTATATTATATTTTTTTCCTTCTAATGAAACTTACTTGTGACAGAATGCCAGGTGTCTTTCTAAAGCTTAGAACAATCCAAATCTTGAATTAAAAACTTACCACATTTTCAGTTTTATCCCAGTAACATAAAGAATATATTGCTTGAGTAAAAAAGTACATAACATGGTACAGTGAATCTTCAGCTCATGCAACAAACGGCTGTCTGATAAGGCCAGCTTGCTGCTTTTAGCCCCTAGTCTTTCTCTTTTTAAAAAAAGAATCCCTAACCTTCCTATGAACTTTTAGCTTGCAAATGACCTGATATGACATGTTTGAACTTAAAATGAACTTTCACATGAACTTTCAGTTAGTCCTCTTAGAAATATAACAGATGGAAAATGGGCACATTGCTTAAATATTTTAGTTTGAAGTGCTTTGACACGTACACCAGTAAAAAGAGGCAAGCTATCTAATTTTGCTGTTTATATTGCTGATTTTATTGTTCTGTTGGATTACTTGCAGGGTTTGAGCTGAGAGGTGCTTGTTTTCTTTTTGTCAATGGATGCTATGCATTTGGTTTTGTGGTATTTGTTTTCTTGTACTATGATTTCACCTGGAACATAAAACTCTTCCATATCTTCACCCTGAATGGAGGGATGCAGTTCTCTATTTGGAGAGTTAAATTAACCTCATGTCAGTCTTGAGAGACAGTGATGATGTTATTTGAGTAAAATCTGTACTAGTGACATTTACTTTTTTAGATAGGCTCTGATCTGATCTTTTCAGAGTATTTATATAGGGCTTTGAACTGCTTCTTAAATATTTGCAAACACAGGTTAGTCACAGGTGAACTACACTATAATTCTGGCACTAAAACATGAGGTGCCAATCCTGCACTGCTGATTTTCAAGGAGTAGCACCTACTGATTTTCTCCACCTCAAGCTTTAACCTGATGGCATCCCAGCAATTTTCTGCTTTTCTCTTTTTGCATTAATATTCCTAATACTGAACATGGTTGTTGCCCTGGCAAATATATTCAGACTGTTTCTGTTATTGATAAGAAAGCTAACATTAAGTTGCCCTTCCCTTACTAAGCTCTCAGCCAATAGCTCTTGCTGGTTTCTCATCTTGCTTTGATTCTTTACCAAGTGAGGGATTGCAGTCCACTCCAGCCAGCTGCAGTAAATTGTATGCTCTCTGTGTGTGTGTGCAATAACTGGATATTAAGAGGAATGTAACTATTGAGTCTAATGTCCTAAGGCTGCTTTCTTTGTTAAGTATTTTTTAAGTGCATGAATAAACATTTCAATCGCCCTCTTAAAAGGCTCATGGCAGACATAAATTCAGTCACCAGTTTGCTGCTGTGCTTTCTAAGGCAGGAAGGACTGTTTTCTGAAAGGTTCTCTCTTCTCTGGCAGTACAGCTATCAATGATTTGCTTTTTAATTAAATGCATTTGATTAATATGTATCACAAAAGAATGTCTTTGAAGTTATATTGAAGAAGCTGAAGTACTGATTTTTAACTACTCTAGGTTTTGATGGTGGAGCAGTGAAAGTTTGTGGAGCAAAAGGATTGCCTCCTTCAACATTTTATAAGGTATTACCTCATTTTTTGATGTGAAAGGTATATTTTGATTTACAAGATCTTAAATTTTGGAGACACTGCTAAAACTTAGCACTATCCTCATCTTCTCTGCCCCAAGAGTAAAAGAAAGAGGTGGAAAATTTGAAAAGGCAAACCTTTTTTATATGCATAAACCTGTTACTTTGTTTAAAAAGTATGTATTTGTATAGATAATGATTGCCAGGGAGCGTTTATAGCCTGTCAGTACTGAATTCCATGTAACTTCATAATCCCTTTATCATTAGGTCAATGCCACTTATCTTGATGGCTTCAGAGCTACTGCTGTGTGTCCAGTGGGAGGCCCAAAGGCAGTTCAAAAAGCAAAACGCACTGCAGAAGCTATTCTGCAAAGGTTGGTATTTGAGTCTTGGAAGGGGATCTGGTTTGCTCCTTTTTTTTTTTCCAGATGTGATGAAAATAGAACAGTGACCCATGATGGCAACATTACTAACCTTGTAAGAATCCTAGAAGATTTTAGTTTTCCTATTGGGATGACATTTCAAGACTTAAGTAACCTTTTCAAGAAACCTGTTTTCAATATGTAGCTGCACTTCAGTTAGGTTGGACAGAGTGAGAAAAGTGTCAAATACATTTAAAAATAGGTGACTGGGGAGAGACTGAATTTAGTGAGGAACAAGCTGTGATTGAGATTAAATTTTATTAGATACCAGAGAGAAACCCATGTGAAACTAGTTTTCAGCAGCTTTCACAGAACTTTTTTATGAAAAGCCTTACTGATATGAAATATAGGAAGTTTACTGAGTTTGTGTTTAAAACATGCTTTCTAAAATGTGACCCAGTGATTTTTGTATTTTTCTTAGGACAGAGTTACAATTCCAAGACAGAGTGATAAACTTTCAGTTGTATTGTCATGCCAGTATATTTGGGCATGGCGGAATTCCTCTTAAATATAATTCCATATCAGGAATCTCTCAGTGCTTATTCCAGTAGCTCCAGTCTTTCTAGTTAAGAGATCTACTTCCTTGTGCCATGTTTTTTATAAAGCTTCTTCCCCATCCTGTTGTAGACTCCTGCAGAAACTACACTTGAAAAGTCAGAAATCCAAGGTTTACTGTTAACTTGGAGTGATTATTCATATGCCTGTGTGCAGCACTGTGGTGAAGGAGGAATTGTCTGACTTCCTTGACTTCACTTGTCTGAGATATGGCAGATTAGAGCAGGCTGATAGGGGCTGTGGAATTGCAAATGCTAAAAGCTCCTGTGCAAGAGCTATTGAGAAAATCCAATTATTAAAAAAATCCATCAGAAAGTGGCAAATATGAAGACTCAGAGACTCTGGAGGGCCATCTTTCTGGAACCTAGATGTTTATTTTAGGAAAAAAGTAGAATGTTGTGTTTTCTATTTCATATTTGCTTTTGGACATTATTTCAGACTGGACTATATGTGTATCTTTGAAAGAAACAGATTGTAGTCCTGCTGCTACTATCTCTGACATCAAGAAAATTATTTCAGCCTGTGTACTGTGCTCTCTCGCATAATCATCAGAGGAAAGCTGAAGTGAGGTACTTGAGGGCTGATTAACTGGTGTGAAAAGTGGCCTCTAGCCCATTAGCTAGTGGGCCAGTTCTCTGTTTTGAAAATTACCATATACACATTCTGCATCTCAAGTGTAGTCTTAAACAGCTTAATATGTGGAATTGTTTCTTTGACACAGCAAAAGATTGGTGTATGTCAGCCCAGATAAAGAATAAGAATTAAGCTTTTCTGATCCCTCTCAAAGGATGCTCTGTCAGCAACTATAACTGTTTCAGAAACATTAGCATAAGGTTTTTTTCCTGGTTTCTGTTCATAAAATCCTGGAATTGTCAAGGTTGGAAGAGACCTTTAAGATCAGCAAGTCCAACCATCTACTCAGCTCCATCACTATAATCCCTAGATCACATCACCCAGCACCAGATCCAGACATCTCTTAAACACCTTCAGGAGTGGTTACTTCACCACCTCCTTGGGGAACCTGCTCCAGTGCCTGACAACTTGAACAGTGGAAATTTTTTTTCTGATACCTAATCTGGATCTCCCCTGTCTCAGCTTAAGGCCATTTTCTCTGCTTCTCTCACTGCAGGAACAGTAGAAGGAGCTGGCCTTGTCCTCAGTACACCCTCCTTTTATGTGTAGCCTTTTTCCAGGCTGAGCACCCCCAGCTCCCTCAGCCATTCCTCGTAAGACATGTTTTCTAGACCTTTTACAACCCTTATTGCCCTTCTATGGCCGTGCTCCAGCACCTCAGTGTTCTTTCAAAAGTGAGGGGCCCCAAACTGGACGCAGGATTTGAGGTGTGGCCTCACCAGTGCTGAGCACAGAGGGACAATCACTGCCCTGGTCCTGCTGGCCAGACCATTGCTGATCCAGGCCAGGATGCCACTGCCTTCTTGGCCACCTGGGCACACTCTGGCTTGTGTTCAGCTGCCTGTCAGCCAGCCTGTGAGAGTCTCTTTCTGCCAAACAGCTCTCAGGCCACCCTGGCCCAGAGTGTGGTGCTGCCTGTGCTTGCTGTGACCCAAGTGCAGGACCCAACACTTTGCCTGAGGGAACTTCATGCAGTTCCAGTTGTCTTTAGGCCATTGATGGAGCCTGCCTGGGTCTCTGTTTCAAGAGAATGTTCTAAGGATGTGATCTTTCAACTACCCACCTTCCAGTCTGTTACAGGATAAGTTCTGTCCAGTAGTTGAGTGGCAGCAAGTGCAGAAAAAGGCGCACATATTTAATGTGCTTCATTTATACAGATCAAATTAGTTGTTAACCTAAGACATTGAACAGCTTTGGCAGCTTGTAAGATGACTTACTTTGCTTCTTTCATGTGTACTTCTCCTTTTACTTGTTTGTTCATTATTGAAAGCAGAAGGGATTTGGCAATATGTGTGTGAAGAAATCTTTTTGAAATATTTCTGGTGTCCTATTTTCATGATTCTTTGTTCCATTATTAACACATGAAAGGGCTAAAAATGACCCACAGAATGTATTTTCAGCTGTAGTATCTGTAACTGTAATGTTTGTAGATAAATAATTTAAAATAACTCAGTACAGACACAGTTTGCAAATTCAGTTACCTTAAATGAGATTGTTTTATTTTTATCTCATCAGAAATAAAGGTGGACTGATTTCTATTGTGTGAACACATTTCCATCTCTTTACAGCAATTAAAAAATTGTATCTTGTATTAATGTCCTTTACATTGCTTCATTATTTCAGGTGCTGTGGTTATATTTATGACAACAGTGATAGATTAGCAGCGTGTTCAAAGTATTCCACCAAAGCAAAAAATGTTACTTGTTTCACCAAGCAAAATATATATCCTTAAAAATTCCAATATTTCAACTGGTAAAATCTTTCATACAGCTGTTTGACAGAGTTAACTTCTGTGGTCCATACAGGGCTACTTCAGATATTCATTTTGAGACCGTTTACTAATACAAAAAATCATTTGTTGCAGGACTCGTCTTATTTTCAGTCAGCTTGGGTATGAAGATTACAGTGCAGTTAACATACAGGTTTTAGGGTCTGAAGATACATATGGACCTCATGCTAGAAGGAGTATAGAAGGTGTAAGTATGCAGTGGAGTGTTCTTAAACTTTTACTGACCTCTTTTAATCTTTCCATATTGTTATCTTTTCCACAACTTTAAAAGGAAGTCATTATCATCTTGGGAATTTCACCCCTTCATGTTGCAAAGAATTCACTGTCACTACTTCATGTAGAAAATTAACAGTGACAAGGTCTTTGCAGTATTGGGTCTTCCAGAAGCACTTATAAAAAATCTTACAGAAATGTTGTTGTACTTTGTTCTGATGATCTCCTAAAGATACACCATATTATAATAACTTCTGTGACATAGACTTAAATTGCATTAGATGTAATGCAAAAAGACCACATTATAAATATTGCAGTCAGGAAATCTCAGCATTTATGTTGCCTGCACAACTTCAAAATTTTCTGTGAGTACTAGATATAGTACTGAAGAAATAATCTTCAGCTATGTAATTCTGCACTGTGAGTGCATATGTAAGAATATGAATGATGGCCATAGCCACTGCAGCTGTGATATCCATGGTCTGTTTTCCTAATCTAGAGAATGAAAGTCCTTTTTAAAGAAAGAAGACTGTAAATCATGTCCTCACTTAGACACAGTTTAAATATTTAGACAGTTTAGTTTGTTCCAAAACAGTAGCATTTAATTCTTCTTTGTCAGTGGCAGCCTTGCAAAACTCTTAAGATACACGTGGCAAAACTCAACTCTGAGTTTGTTCTTACTAGTGCTGACATTTTATCCAACAGTTTGTATTTAAGGGAAATGTGAATGTGGTGTAGAGAAGGACAGTGGACTTATTACTAGTGAAATTGAGTGTTTTTAGAAATTGGTCAAGTTATATCTGCAGCTATTCATTTCAGTGCTTGAGTTTGTTTCCTTCAGCAAAGCAGCAAGAGCTGCCTCCTGAAGACTGAGCTTTATAATGTGGTCTCTTTCATTTTAGGACCATAAAACCTGCAATTTTAAGTGTCTTACTAAGAGCGCAGAATCAAAATTTTGAAACAGATTTTCCAGATGTTCGACTTGTCTGTGTTCAGTTTGTACCAACTCCTCATCATTACACAATATAATGTATTCTTTAATTGAATTGTTGTATAGGAAGTTCTGAACAAAGTGAATAATGAGTTGAAGTAGAGCAGTTTCTCCCTCCTGATTGTTCAGTTTGCCTTGCTTATAGTACATTAAAGAAAGTTTTTCAATGGAAGAGTATTTGTAGTACTTTCTGTATTTCCAGCCTCAGTTCCCAGCTCTTATATTAAAAGTAAACAGAGTGTTATCACCATTGTATGTGCATCTATCCACACCTGAAACAGGATGTGAGAGCTAAGGCTGAAATACAGGAAATCAGACTCTATTGCCTTTCATGCTTCCTCCAGCATTTTAGAAGAGGAGCTTTCATCTGGAAAGTAGCCATGGTAGTTTGGACTGGGGAGTGGAGTTGGCTTTTCCATTTAAAATACAAAGTCATAGAATCTCAGTGAGAACATTTACTCGTTGGGGCTTCAAGTAGAGATAGTATAGTCACATCAACACTCTTTCTTACAGTGTCCCTCCGTGCAAATTTAGACCTGGTTATTTGGGTTACAAATCACAGTACTCAAAACCAGAGCCATACTATGTTAGGCAGTATATTCACACATAAGGAAAATAGTTCCTGCTTTGAAAGTTCTGCTACCTAAATTTGAAGCAAAGAAGCAAATATGTACATGAATACCAAGACAGGGTAAGTTGAACAATACTTGGAGCTCAGTGTTGATATGTAGTGTGGCTGGACTACTTCCCATGCACATCTGTCATACTGGTGCAGTGGTTAGCCTTTGCAGCTGTGAAATTACTGTGTCTCCCAGCCGTAGGTAAGCCTCTAGTCTGAGCTGCTGTGTGGAGGATTGACTGTTCCTGACAACACCAAATACCCTTGAGAAATAGGAAAGGGTGGCAAGCACTTCTTTTTCTCAGACTTTGCTGCCTGTCACTCTTGATAGCCCTTTGTCAGCACCAGCCCAGCCTAAGCTGGAAAGGGACCTGAATCAGCACTGAGTAATTTTAGTGATATTTGATTTTTAGTATCCTCTGTTGGGGAGGAAGGAGTTGTGACAGTGAGTTTGTGGTTTGGAAATCTGGGATATGTTTCATGTAAGCTGTTTTTTAATAGTACATCAGGCATTAGAGTTTGTGGCATAAAAACTGTATATGTTCTGTTAGTTTTCTGCTAACCCTTTGTTAATCGATTTCCATGATTGTGGTGGTTTGACCAGGAAGGAGTGGGAATTCTGGGATGCTGTGGTCAAACCAATGAATGTTCTGAGTTTGATACTGACACCTGGTGTAGCCAGTGGGGTTTGGACACACCTCCGAGAATACACAGGGGTTAAAAAGCAGAGGTCTGCCCCTGGCAGGCTCTCTTGGGACGTCGAGGCGAAGAGGTCAGATCTCCCCCCCCGTCCAGCCGCTGCTGCTGGGCGGGGGAGGGGCAGCCACGTGGTAGGCCCTGGGCCTGGGCAGAGATGGGAGGTGAGGAGGCCCTCCAGGATGGAAGGGTGGAAGATCCCAGGGAGTCAGCCCTCGGGCAGCCATTCCCCCCCCCAGGAGGGAGAGAGAGAGCCGGCGACACCGAATGTGATAGCAGCTGGCCCAGGAGGAGAAGGGGGGGGGGAAGAGTGCCCGGCCGGAGCGGCAGCGTGTGTGGGAGTGCCGCAGCTCCGGGACAGAGACTGAAAGTTATAACCCCTTTCTTTCATGATTGGGGCCTTGCAAAAATGCTAATCCTCCTCGAAGCTGAATAAGAAGGGAGATAAGAGATGAGATGAGACAAGGACCTGGCCCGAAGAACGTGGAGATGATTGAATGGGGAGAGATGATTTGGAGTGGCCTTTTGGCTGGACTTTTCTTGTGGCCATGGACTCAGTTGTTCCTGTGACACAGAGACTGCACTTAGGGGGAAGCAGTGGCTCAGAACCAGGAGGGTTCATCGTGAGGACCCCCCGGCCCCAGGGGGTTGGAAAAATATGGGGGGGACAGATGTCCCAAAGCAGAGACTGTGCCTTTTTGGAGTGAGACAAGGCATCCTTGAAAGACAACCCTAAAAGCAGCTCTAGTCCATGTACAGTGGTGAGAGCACTGGGCATGGAAGGAAGATGTCACAAGCGGCAAAAGGACTCTTTTTTCCGGGCGGTGCCGAAGTGACAGGGAAGCACACGAGGTTTCAGTGTGTTTCCAGGGGAAGCCTATGGAACAAGAAGGACTCCTCTCCTCTTCATGAACTGAAGTTTGAGTATACTAAAGTGTGGTGCCAGGCTGGGCAGTTGGTGATTTGGGAGAATGTATCGGATTGAGAAAGTCAGGTAGTGGGGAGGAGGAAAGTGGTTTTTTGTAAGGTTTTCAATTTTTTTTTCTTTTCCTTATAGTTTTCCCTATTTTCCTGTAGTTTAGGTAATAAAGTGTTCTTTATGTTTAAGCTAAATCCTGTTTTGCTTATTCCTGGTCACATCTCACAGCAGACACCAGGGTGAGGGCATTTTCATGGGGGGCACTGGCTCTGTGCCAGGCTCAAACCATGACAATGATATTGTTGAGACTTTGTTTTGCTGGTTTTTTGTTTTAATTTTGATACAGTAAGATTAATTTCTTCAGCCTATATATATATACCAGTTTTAATACTGAGTTCATCCACTTCAAAAGGATCCAGCTGATTTTCGTAGACATTTGTATCTTGCCTTTGCAGGCAAGGAGGTAAAATGGAACTTTAAATGGAATCTTGATTATATGGTACAGTTTGGAACCAGAAAGCAGATGTGAATGCATGAGGATGTTTTTTTTTGCAAGAATGTTTCCAGTTGATTATTATTTGTAGTAATTTAATAAATCTTTTGATAGCTTTAGGAAGACTGAATGTTAAAATTCTGCACTTGTTGGATTGTATGGCTGTATATTTTTTTGTGTATTGATTCCAATGGTAGATCCTTCAGTGGCTGAAAACAGAATTTTTTTGAGAAGTAAAATTTGAAATGAGAGACACTGCTCATCTTCAAGGACAGGTGTTTTGGCTAGAGTAGGGAGTACATTTGGTTTATCTTTAGTGGAGCATCTGCTCTTCTCTCTGAAAACATGGTGGTTTTTACAAGTTCTGTTCTCACATTTATCTCCCAAGGATTAGGTTTGAATTCTTTTCTGTGGACAGATCTGCTTCCTTCTTGATGCTAAAAGAAGTGAATCTGGCTCTCTAACTTGTCCCCAGAGTACTTTCAATGCTCTTAGAGCAAACTTTGTTTGCCAGTTCCACTGACAGTGAAGCCAAGAATTTGGTATTGTTAGTTACAGTACTTGATTCTTGGAGAATGCTGGAGAACAGACGCAGTGCCCTGGTGACTTGAAATATCCAGTAGTTGATTCCATGGTATTCCAAAATAAAGATAATGAAAAGTTGGCAGCAAATGATAGTGATGGTGGATAAAAAGTCACCGAATGATTTAACTCAAATACTGAGCTACAGTTATTTTTCAGTTTTGTAAATTTAACCAATGTTCTGCATCTAAGCTAATCTAATTTCAACCTTTTTGAAGCAGGGACCTCGGGAAGCTGTTATTTGGCTTGCTGTACACCATAAACAAAGAGAAGCTGTAGAAATCTTCTCCAAAGAGATTGCACCAGCTGGAACTGGCATGGGTAATTATTCACATAATCTAAGAATTTTCAAGTTTTTTTTTTTTTTTATTTTCTGAGCATGACTAGCACCCAAAAACTTGGTCATATTAGGCTTTCTTATGTTGTTCATAGTGAAATAGTTATTTTTAAAGGTGTATAAGCTTGGTGTAGAAATGCAGCAGACATTAGCAGAATGATAAAATGAAAGTCCTCGAAGTTCACCTTTATATTCCTTTTAGATTCTTTATTCTTCCCGTGCTGCTACTGTTCCATCCTATTTTTTTCCTTTTCCTCATCCATCTGTTTTCCTCCATGTGACTGCACTGCTGTGCAACAGTGATTTACTTTTTTTACCATGTTCCTAAAACTTAATAATGCTATTAGACTTTGCTGAGTGTTACTCAACTGGCAAAAATATACCGTGTCCAGCTATAACACTGCAGTTTAGGAAGAGATGTGCAGTTTGAGAGTTCTGAAGGTTCTCTTCATACTTCGTTATCTGGTGTTGCTACAAAGGATTTTTATTGATGCTACTGTACTTTCAACTGTTTTATGTATAGCTGCTTGTGTAAGTAATAACAAGATTCAGGTACTGCAGTGATGGTGCTGACAATCTGCATCTCAATTCCCATTATGTATTAAATACTCAACTCATCCTGCAGTATGAAGTCTAACCTTAAATTATTCTGTCCTCAGAATTTGATTTTGTGATATATTGCAAGATTTCTTTTTGAATTGATGTGTGAGGTAAAATCTAACCACTAGAATTTGATTAAGTCCATCTTAATTTTGAGGGTATATTTTTAAGTATTTGCTTGAAGGTCATGTAATGTGAAATGATCTGTGCTTCTATCACTTGCCAAATGTTTGTTCCAAAAAAGGCACATTTTTTTTTGTAAATGTCATTGGTTTCTCTAAATTTTCTGGGGTGACCTACTGTGTGATTATTTTGAGCAAATTTTTTTCTTTTCTACTCCCAAGTCCTTAGGTGTCACCACTATAACTATCCGAGTTCTAAGCTCTTTCATGTGTTTTGTGCATAAATCATGAGTGCTCATCCCACTTCTATTATCCATTGTAAAAGAATTTAAATTTTGACAGCCTAATTTGAGGACCAGAGTTTAGATATTTTGCAGTGGCTTCTGCATATCTTAATGAAGACTATATCTAGGATTTACATAGATCTTCAAAATTAAATTATATGGGCTTCACCTGAAACTCTGAAGTTCCGTAGCAAATCTAAAATACTGATTAATGGAGGAATAGTTAAGTGTTGCCTTGCAATTAAGGAATGAATTTTTTTTCAGTTGGTTAAAAATTGTGCAGAAGTGTGCACATTCTCACATTCTGTGTTTACAGTCTTTCTATTTGCAGAGAACAGCTTAATGCAGGTTGGGGTTTTCTTTAAAGCTGTATTTATAGAGACAAGATCAGCACATGGTGGTCCTTTTTTCTTTTTTTTTGTGTCTACAATAAAGAGATGATCATGTAGAATTAACTGTAAATACTCATTGAGATAATAGTTTAAAATGTTGCAGTTCTGAAGGCTGATCAGCAGGTCAGCATTTACCATAGATATAAGTTGCTTATAAAGACGTGAAGTTTTCCTTATGAATGAAGGACAGTATTTTCAGTTGGTCCAAACTATCATTTCTGTAACTAGTTAGGAAATCATAACTGAAGTAGTTTCTCCTTTTTCATAGTGATTTCTCCATAGCAGACCAAGAAAGTAAAAATATATTCTTATTATTTATTCTGTGCATACATAGACAGTGCCCTAGAAAACATCCTTTTGAATTAAAGAAAGCTGTGTGGATTTTAAAATAATTGCTTTTCTGTAAGGTACAGAACTAATGGACCTGTACTTGTCTCTCTATTCTTATTCTGTGCTTCTTTTATAAAGCAATTACTGTGTATTTAAACCTTGTTTGAAATCTGAAAGTGTTGGTTTTATTAAGGGTTCGATTTTTTCCTTTTACCACTGATCTTTCTAGAATGAAAAAGTGAAAAATCTGCCTACGTGGGTTGGGTGAAATATGCAGAATTGAAATTGAGTTACTGTAACATGAGAACATCTGTGCCTTGAGGTGACTGGCAAACTTTCAGTTCTTGTTATCAGGGCTTTCAGTGATGAAACAAATGCATTCCTATGTGGAATAGGTTAGGCAGTCTGTGTGGATGATGGTTGGAGTGCTGAGCTTGTTTCCAAAAGGAACAGTTTAAGCTTTCCAGAACATCCTGTAGAAGTTTTTCTCAGAAAAAAAAATCTGTTTCAATTCTTAGAGCTGCTGATAATGAACAGCAACGGGAGAGAGGCTATTTTTGGAATCATCCGAGGCATCTGGTGATAAATAGCACTTTTCCTTGCCAGGTACAGGACTGCAAAAAGGGTTTTGGCCTCCATGACAAAAATGACTACTGTCAAAGGCTATCGGGGCTGTTTACTCACATGCTTCCAAGTGCATAGTCATTCTTTTTTTTTTTTTTAATTTGTGGAAGATATACTGGAACTGCTTCATACAGTCACTTGTTTCAGTTGCTGTTGTGTGGTAAATTTCTGTATTACCTGTGCCCATAAACTCTTGCATGAGCAGAGAAGGGTCAGATTTGGGATCTGAATGCTTAGTAAGCTACTTGTTGGTGTGGAGTATGTTTAAAGCTGTGATTAAGAAGAATGTTTTTAATTTTCTTTCTTCAGTGAGATTTAGAATTTTGCAACACTGCCAAACAGTAATTAGTGGAGTACTAATGACTGCATCAGCTTAATGATGCTTAATTTCTGACAGAAGTGTGGAATTCCAGACCTTGCTGTGAAGAGCAGAACAAGGAATTCTTGATGCTTAATTGTCTTAAAATGGGCAGGTCCACAGACAAGACTTGTAGGAATGGGTGACTGATCTTGGGAACAGAAGCCAGAACTAAGACTGTTGAGATTGTTGTTGTCCTAGGTGAATTCTCCAGTAACAGCACCTGGTGTTCATTTCCCTTCCCCTTTTCCCTGAGCTTCTTCCCTCCCTTCTATTTGACTAGGACATTTTTGGAAATTATTACAATTCTCTGGAGTGTCACAGCTTCAGGGAGGGGCAGAACATGCCCCATGGCAGTATGGTCACCCTCATGAGAGGGTCAGATTGTCCACAGGCAGAGAGCCCAGAACTTGAGCCTTGCATGCCCTGTGCAAGTGCTCTGGGCAGTGAGCACCTGAGGTCCCATTCTGTACAGTGCTGCACCACTTTTTCTCACTGGACATTGAATAAAAATAGCTGTGGCTGCTGTCTCTTGCATGGATAGAGCATGTCTGTCAAATGTGGCTTTGTGCTTTGCACATGGGTCTGTGTGATGTAACTGCAGGTGGCTTTGTTGTGCCAAAATGGTGGCAGCTCTGGGGATACAGACTGAGTGAGATTTTAAGCGTGAGTGGCTTTTCCATATGAAAATCCTTTAAACAGTGAAGTCCTGTGTTTCAAAGGTGGCCGGCTTGGTCATACACCTCCCAACTCTCCCATGTTAGTTCACTTCCAGGAGGTGAGATAGTGACTATGAGAGTCATTGCAAATAACCCTTCTTTCTTTTTCCGCATATCCTTTTAATGAAGTATTGGAATTAAAGTAGAACAGAGGAAGAACAGAGGAAAAGCAGAAACAAATTACAAATCTTTTATAATGGACACCAGGGAGAAAGGAGAAGTTGATGGCTTGTAAAGTGATGTCACCTGAACTGAAACACTTTGTTCCATTACTTTTGGACATTTAAGAGTGATCTTTAAAAAACAAAGTACACTTTTAGATCTGTACTGGGAAAAAAGGAAGTATTTTCTCTTCTGCTTGGAGTGTTTATAGTGGTTGAAGAGTACTGTTTCTAACTATATTCTTCTTTCCCAACAGTAGCAGTTTGGTGCTTGTTACTCTGAAGTGCTGTGTAGGCGGTTGTACAGATAATAATCTTCCTTTGTAGCACCTTTCATCCATGAACCTTTAGCAAGCTGTGTGAAGATGATCAGCGAAGCTTTCTAACATCTTAGTAGCATTGGAAAGTATTCTGTCTGCTTTACAGATGGTTTCCTGAGATAGTGAAAGAAAGCATAAGCACAAAAGAATGTGAATCAAGAGTCCTTGGTTCTGCTTTCCCTGTAAGAAATGCTGAAGAGCAACTCCACCAGTATTTAAGGGGACCAAAATTTAAGTTGGCTAAAATTTAAGAATGGGGAGTAGAGGAGAAGAGAGATTGAGAAATGAGATTTGATGGTTCAGAATAAGTGTGAAGAGTCACAAGAGCTCCTGCTGCATCTTTTGTAGTGAAATCCAGAAGCGCTGTCACTTCTGGTATTTCATCAGGTGATTTAAGCCTGCTAGTCACTACTTGTGGAGTTGTCAGCTGGAGTTGGTTGGTAGTTTTATTGTGGCACTTAATATGAAAATTACAATTTGTATGTAAAATAGGTGTTGATTTCTTTAATAATCAGTCCTAAAAGCCTACTTTTGGTGTTTTTCACTTAGGCTGAATTTAAATAACTTGAGTATAAATGTTTTACCTATTTGCATGATAAACTTTGGAGGGAGTTTTCAGTTGTGGCTTTTCAGATTTTGCAGGGAACAACAGTAAAATTAAAATAACTTCTTTTCCTTCTGTAATTACAAATCATATCATAATAATTTTGTTGGGGAGTGATCTTCAGAATGCTTCACTTCAGAGACTTAAAACTGGATGTTAGGTCTTGAGTATCAGATGTGCTTTTTAGTAAATTTAGTCTTAACGTCAGTATTTAATAACTTCTGACTTACTTTGCAGCATATGACTTTTGGATATGATAAAATTTTTGGGAATTGGTATATGTCAGGGATAATGAAACTCAGGTCTCATAAAAGAAGAGCATTGAATGGCTTCTGATCAATTTAAGAGTGCTTAAATTGTGATTCCTCCCCTCTCCCCTCTACACTAGTAGAACCATCTAAAGGCATTGTGCCGATCTGAAAAGCCCAATTTCTTGTAAAATTGCATCCTCTGCATAAAAAGGAATTCTG